TTGGAGCGATCCTGACACACCTCTCTCGCCTCCTTTACATCCATATATTTACGCATACACGCTCGTCGGTTAAGGGTACTCCTAATCTGGCCCATTTTCAATATATCGCCGATTTGATTTTTATTTTATTTTATATATATACTCCAGATTCGTAGGCGGGGGTCTCTTTGCGCAGTATCTTCTTAGACGCCCATTACACGCCTAGGCAAGCGTCAATCAGTTCGATCAATCATGATTGACGTTTGAATGATAGAATAATTTCGACATTACACGCTCATGCTGACTAATGTCAGTCAAACCCGGAGGGAAAGGACCTACCTATAAACTAAGTTCATTTTCGATTCACCATTTAACTGTAATTTAATACCTTGAAAAGTAAAAGAAAAAAAAACGAATAGGAAAAATTGTAATATTTAATATCATTTTACCCATTTTAATTTAACGCGAGCCAATGATCGACCTCTTCGAGGGCATAATAGATACGCGGCTTTATTTGAAACGCATTTATGGACGAAAAATTAGCTTACCTTTTATATTTATTCGTATAGGGTGGATACGAATTAAATTGGCCTTTTAGTGCCAATTTAAATTTCCGTTTGTGTACCTAATGCCAGCATAGCATAGGGCTATGCCTTTTGAGTTTTTGGTAGGTACCTATTGTAGGTTTTATGGTTAGTTTTAGGGGCACTGAAATAAATTCATAACTTTTAATTTTAAATCATGCATGTCACAAGCATGAAATATGTATTAAGATAGAGGACAACAATTATTTTATTTTAATGTTTTACTTCTTATCTTACTGTGGTTTAGCTTTAAGCAGTTCCATTTTTCTTTTAACACTAAACAATTAATTAAAACAAAATTATAATAAAATTATGTATTATAGTACATCGATTTCTTATAATTTAATCATCCAAGTTTTTGAATCTTCATCATCATTTCAGCCCTTCACAAGTCCACTACAGAACATCATCCTCCATAGACTGCCGCAATGCATGGTCCTGAACCACTTTCCTTGTTATGACTTTTTCATATACCTATGCTCTTAAGTTATAGTAAAATTAGTATTACTAAGTTGTAGTTAATTACATTTATTGTAAAGCAAGTACGTATCATTTGCTAAACTTTTAAATCAAAAACCAATTTTAAAATATACACGAATTAATCATAACTTCCTAAACTATAAAATAAGTTATGTTCTAATTAATGGTATTTATTCCAGTTTATGACAGCTTAGTTATATTACGTGGCTGAAATTAGGTATTTCTTATTATGTACATCAAACCAAATAACAGCCCGGGCAGTTGACATTAAGCACTCCATACATTTGGACGTAGTTAAGCAGAAAGGACTCAATCCACACAGTGGTCAAAATTGAGTTAAGTATGCCATCGCACTCCTGAGGATCGAAACTACCATGTAGTGAAAACCCTATTTTTAAAATGTACACGGAAGCTGATTTTTTTCGCTACCCCGACTCAACCCACAGTATAAAGAGCACATAAAATGTATTCGCTGAATTAATTCAATCTGCTTGAATTGTTTCTAAGTAATGCATTTCTATGAGTATTTACTTAATGTCGAAAAACCAGGATGGACTCAAACGGTTTGGATCCTTTCTGAGAAATAGTTTTGATCAGAAATATCATTTTACCAAATAACTGAAATGACTCAAACAGGTTGGGTCGTTTCTGCGTTATGAGATTACTGAGAAAAATAATTATTTTTTGTTTATCAGAAACGGCTCAAAACACTTGGTATGTTTCAGAGAAACATACCAAGTGCAAGACTTAGCGCGTGCTAAAACAGATCCCTATATTTGCATAGCATTTTATAAACGTAAGTTATGGATTTATAACGCTGGGATACACGTTGGCTCTAACGATCAAAGACGATGCAATGTGTGGGTTGAAGGGGAAGCCGGAAGAGAAGCCCAAGAAGTTGGCTCGTGTCTCATTAATTTTATTAAAAACCATTTGAGGGATGGCGTAGAGAATCTACTCCTTTGGAGCAATTGCTGCGGGGGACAAAATAGAAATACAAAATACCCAATACTTAAAACGATAACTTTAAAATATTTAGAGACTGGCCATTCCTTCTTGCAAAATGACAGTGATTTCAGCATTGCATGATGATGAAGATTGCATGTGAGTTTAAATATCACGAACGGATTTACACCGCAGAATACATAAATATCATGAAGATCTCTAATAAGAAAAAACCTCATGACGTTACTATAATCAAAACACAAGACTTTTTAAGTACAAAATAGATAGAAAAAAATGTACAAATAAAGATAAAGTAAATTGGCTGAAAACTAATCAAATTTTATTGAAAAAAGAAGATCAATACTTAATTACTATGACGTCAGAGAGTGGAGATATTCAAAAGCTATATTTGTCGAAAAGAAGCAAAGGTAATTTAATACAATTTTCAGAAGAAGATTTTGATGTGCTTTGGTCCCAAGGAAAACCCATACGTGGAGCAAAGCTTGATGATCTCAGATCTATGTTTAGTTTAATACCTGAAGACTGTCATGCATTTTACAGTAACCTTAAAGGAAACAGCAATATCAGAGACGATGTTGATGGATATGGGCCAACTCTTTATTTTGAATTGGAGGAGAATGAGACAAATTGAGACAAAAATGAGACCCGTTTTACTGGAAAAGAGGAATTCCATCTTAGTCCTTAACGCATCTGCATTTTGATTCGCAAACGAGGATAGATGTAGATGTCTATGGGCCACAGCAAGCACTTACCATCAGGTAGACTGTGTGCCCGTTTGTCACCCTTTCCTATAAAAATTATAAAATCTCTTTTGATTCATTTTTGCGCTGTTTTTCCCTATTTTTTTTTATTTTTATAATGGTGTTTTACGTGATTTTGCTAGCCTTATATTCAAGGATAATAAATATATAACTTTTTAATAATTTTACTCATTTTGTTTTCTTTAATAACTTATTTTCTAGTCGAAGAGTAGTTTTGAGTCCATTCTGAGAAAGTAAAAAAAATACCTGTTTTTACAAACTTAAATTTAATTATATGGACTCACCCACATTTCACTTAATATTTCGAAATCTATTGCAAAATATGTCATTATTTTGACAGACAGATAAAAATATTGACTATCTTCTTGATTAAGGGGCAAAAAATTAAAACTATAACTTTTTCTTAGACGAAAAATTACAACTGATACTTCAAACCGCCTGTAACTCAAAAGTGAATTTGTGTAGATTGATTCCTTTCTGCTTAACTACGTCCATTTCATATATCTATAAAAAAAATTACAGCTCCATTAATTTCCACTAGAATAAAATAAAAAACTTATAGATTTAAACAAAAATAGCTGCATTACTATGTCTATAGTCACATAACATTCATACAAATCAAAAAGCCTAAAGATGAGCTAATGTAAAATATGCTTAATTGTATCGGGACCATAATTTGTCAAAAAATTAGGAAAATGAGCGTTTTTCGTTGCGTACGTGTTTTGGTTTTTAATTTAAAACTGTTAGGCTTAAAACTATGAGGTAATATGTAAAATATACTTTCCCCTAGTTACGAAGAATTTATTAGCCAACAATATTTGTAGTTAAGACTACTAGAAATCTTATTTACGAAGTAAAAAGGCGGAAAGGCTGGAATTAGGGGCGTGGCTGGTATTGGGGGCATCCACCCTACCCGGGGTTTTTCGTGTCCCACAACTCGGGGAGAGCCCCAAAAATTAAAATTAAATCTTTTTCTGGCTGAAGCACGTTTGGCGGGAGTGGCAACGGGCTGCGCAAGCGCGTGGAAGCCGCCTCTTCAATACTTATATTCTTCATCCGCCTCCATTGCTGTCTAAGCACAGAACACTAATACCCTTAGGCGAATGTCTAAGCGTTGACTGACGCGTGATTGACGAAATGCCATTACACGTTCAATCAAAATTCGTGACTGATAGTTGATTGACGTAAAAATCAAAATATTCAGATATTTGTCAATCAATTTCATGCAACCGTCAATCACCGCATCATCACATCACAACCGTGATTGTTGTGTTGTGTAAAACTGACAGCAAAACCTGACGTGTAATGGGCGTCTTAGTAGTCTGTAGCTTTTTTTAATAACTGGCTTTACGGCTCTGGGTTCTACCCCTTCTGAGCCTGAAGTTTCAATGTATAATTATTATCCTTCATAGTATAGTGCTTCACAATATGTTGATGCGTCGCATTGTGCAGCCCTTGCGAGATTTTGGCGGCAACTTGAGCCAGCAGACAGCTGAAAGTTGGCGATGGTATCTCAAGGCTCATAAACAGACAGACAACATATTTTGAGAATTACATCACCATCAGAGCACTTGTTTCACCGTTTCCATTAATAGTTCACATGCGCAGACATTTAATACACAAAATCGCACCACTTTTGCATATTAAAATCCACTTCAAACCATTATTTAAACAATAATACAGGAGCAGCAATCCGTCGCCGGTCATGTTCTCGCCAAAACTCCTGGCAAAGACTACAATGTTAACTCCTGGTCTGTAGCATAGATAAATATATATGTAGCAAGCTATATATATATATAGATAAAGATATATACATGAAGTTATAGATAAAGATATCTTTATCTATAACTTCATGGTCTGTAGTAACGGAAAAAATTTGGTATCGATATATTTTACAGTATCGATTTATATCGCCTGATAAATATCCATATATCGTCATGTTTTGCATGATATATTATAATAAGGCCCAAAATTTTCTTACTGTTAGTTGGACGACAAAAGAAAAGGCATACAAAAACAAAACAATGCTTTTGTAGTTGCTTTTGTTGCTTATTGTCTTGTGGACTAATACAACATTTTAAAATATATCAAAATTGATACGAATTCGATACTTAAAAATGAATATTGAATATCGATATAACGTGATTAAAAATATCGACGATAAATACTACTTGGTCTATGGCATTCTATGATATAATATGATATAAATGCGTAAGCATCAATTTAGTCTGTGATGTTATATGCTCTTTGTGTCAATTGATTTGCTTATATTTCATTTCATGGTGTGCTAAAAATTATGATCATAATTCGATATTTTAATAATTATTAGACTTTGTAAATCTGTGCCCAATAAGTATAAGATTTCGGGAACGTTTTCCAGGTGTGCTCTAAATTGTGTAATTTTATTTAGAAATATCATATCACGCAAACAGTGACGAAATGTCAAAAAATTCAGTGGATTCGTGCCAATGATCAAGAAGTTTTAGCAGATGTGAAAATTTGTTGTTTGTGCGATTTATTGAAACTAATGATATCTCAAACCTTTAGTGCAGTTTTGGATTCTTATCAGGGTTATTTTTGGGAAAAGTTTCCAGTTAAATTTATCTGTCCAGTTGGATGATTCTACAGTTTTGAAAGAGCGAAGGTAAGATATTTTCTTTTGTTGCGTTATTGTCTTAATCCGTCACGCGTACAACGACTTCCAACTGCAGAATAGTTTTATAGATAGAATGTCATAAATTTTGCAATATAGAACTTGCTCGAATTTCCTAGATCATTTTGTTAATTTTGACAATTACATTAAGGTAAATATTAACTTAAGCTATGCGGAAATTAATAAGATAAGAAAAATAAATTAATATATTACATAAAAATGTTTTTACTTATATTACATTTAACTTTTCACTCACTAATTCACAGCTGTGAGTTCATGTGGGTTGGTTTCACCCTCTTGGCTGTATAATAGTTGCTGCAATTAGCTGGTTAGTTCAAAGTATTTGCACCTATTTCTGTATTCTGTTTTAAGAGACCCAGTTTCGTTCCAGGTATGAAACTCCTTATGTAACCTTTGGTTACAAGTATGCCCATGTATGTATGCAGCAGTAGCTACTTACCATTTAATGAACTGTTAGTTTTTATTTATTCATTATTAACCTCCCACTGCTGAACATAGGATTCCACCATAGATTGCCTTTTTTAAAATAGAATAAGGGTGATAAACAAGCACACAGTTCTACTCATGGTAAGTGGATGCTGTGGACATAGATATGTACATTTTTCCTTGATTAAGAATCACAATGCAGATGCGTTGTCACTCCTGAGGACTATGATGGAGTGCCTCCTTTCCAGTAAAAGTGGTCTCCGGTTCTCTACACTCACCATATGAAACACAGCAGCATTAAGCCACTATTTTATGCTGGTATTCTGTGAGAGCATGGACCTACCCCAGTTGAGCCATGCTTAAACTGATCATTTCTTTTTTTAACTCAAAACGGGACTTGGGTTTATTTATACATTGCAGTTAGCAGGTTAACAATAAAAATAAATACAAGTTTTAATGTTATTTATTTAGAAAAAGCTTTATACAATTAGTGTTCACTATAATTATATTCACATTAATTATAATTATTTTTATATTTTTTTAACTTATTAAAGCAAAGTTCCTCAGACAGTAAGTATTAAATGCAACATATTCTATTCATTATAACAAATTTGCTTTAATAATGTTGGTGATGATGTTAAATAAGAATAAAATTCTGGTCATGTTTTTTTTTATATTGACCTTTGTTATCAATATTGCCTTTAGAACTGGAACCTGTAAGTGAGTTTTTTCTGACCTGCACAATTATAGAAAATACTCTTTTTTCTACAGACTTCAAAAAAGAGACTACTAAATGCCTCATAACTTTTTACTGGGTGCACTGATTTCGATGATTCTTTTTTTATTTGAAAGCTGGTGCTTCACATATGGTCCCATATAAATTTGATCAAGGTCTGACCAATAGTTTTTGAGTTATTCTTAATAATTTATATTAGTCGGTTGTACAAAATTTTTAATTTTTAACACTTTCTCTGCCAATAACAAAATATGTCTTTTTCATTCAGGCCGTGGCGGTCACTGTTGGGCGACAACAAACATTTCTGTTCGGGCCGCGTCGCCCAATGGTGACCGTGCGTCAGACGTGTTTTTAAACTGCGACTGTAGGCCAACGGACCTAAAAGTCCTTCAATTTTGTATGACAGGGGACCCGCGCGGCTCTGCATTTTATCCTATTTAGCTTGGTTTTTGCAAACAAGACAACTCTAAAATATATCTAGTGTTTTTACTTGTGACCTCTAATTTTCACTATAATGGACTATTATTATAATTGTATACAAAAATAGCGTTTAAGGTTAGAACAATTTTGACCAAAATATGGACTAGAATTCGCAATGTTAGATCGAATAAAAAATACTAGATTTCCGCTCGAGGATTCGCTCGCGCGTAATATATTTTTTCGTAGGAATGAAACAATTTCCTACAGTAAAAAGTATACGCTGCCACTTCTGCATAATATAGTTTTCTATCGGCGAAAGAATTATTAAAATCAGTTCAGTAGATTCAAACAAATCTATTCTCTTTATAATATTGGTATAGATTACAAATAAAACAATTTTGACGCGCATATAAAAATTTATTGTAAAAATGAGGTACAGAAAAAGATAAATTGACAAAGTTTAGTGTATTTTAATAAAACATTCGGGACATAAAAAAGGTTCATTTGGACATGTTTTACAAAAAGTAGTGACTTTCTTTGTCTTATTCCTAGCTCCTAAGCGTCCCAGGGTGGCTACGTTCTGCTTATAACATTGTTGGCATTGCCGTCGAACGACTTTAGATGATCCTTCCTTTTTCGCCAGTTCATGTTTAGCTCTCTTCGGTTTCGATGAAGAAGGTTCGGACGTTATGCCTTTTGTTAGGAAATCTATCATAATTTCTTTTCTAAAATCTACAATAGGAATGTTCTCCTTTGTTACACTTTTGTAAAGAGTGAGTGCGTTTACAACAGCTACATTCAAGATTAAGTCCATGGCCACTTTTTTATACCACTTCACAGTGGTGTTTGGTACGCTGACATTTGATCAGACAAATCAACGGCACCTTTAGCTTTATTATAGTCGACAATAATTGCAGGTTTCAAGATAACTTTGTTACGTTTTACCACTCTCACAAAACGCGTCGAGTGTTTTGTGGACAAAATTAACATATCTCGTTTATCCTTCCATCGCATCACTGTTATTCCATCAGCACTTTCTTTAGCTATAAATTGCCCCTTTTTCAACTTTGTAGAAACTACTGTTTTAGGAAAATATTTCCTGTTTTTCCTCAATGTTCCAACAAGATGTCTCTCTATTTAATAGCTTTCTTGCCAATTCGATATTTATGTACCAATTATCTGTGAATAGAGTGTGTCCTTTGTCGAGCAAGTCATTACAAAGTTCCATAACTACATTTGTAGGTGTAGTGTTAATTTCGTCATTCTGTTTACCAGCATAAATTTTAATTTTATAGGTGTAACCTGGCAATGTACATAATTTAAATAGTTTTACTCCATATTTATGACGCTTTTGTTTGTTATACTGATGAAAGATTATGCGTCCTCGAAAAGGCACAATTCTCTCGTCGATGCATAAATCCTCACCAGGGATGTAGTTTTCCTTAAAATTGTGATTTATTACATTCAATAAATTTCTTACCCGGTGTAATCGATCAGCTTTGTTCTCCTCATCTTGTTCTGAAAAATGTAGCATTTGAAGCAATATTTCAAACCGATTACGAGACATAACGGTTCTTGGGAAATTTTGTCCCATAATTACATCTTTGGACCAGTAGTCTGATATTTTAGGTAATTTCACCAAGCCCATATACAAAACCAAACCAAAGAATTTTTTTATTTCCACAAGGTTAGTAGGTGCCCAGTTCCGAATGCGTGCACATTTTGTAGCTTCTTGTGAGTTAACTATTTTAGCAATTGCAAAGTTATTTGTGTTTTTTACTATTTCATTAAAAACATCATCCGTTACCAAAAGCGCATAAAATTCTGCTGGGGATTTGTTAGTCATAAGCCTGCGCATGTGCAACGGCGCACCAGGAATTTCGGTAAAAGCTATCAATTGGCGTTGATTACCTTTGAGATCGGTCCATGTTGAGGGTGGCGAACTCTCCGCTAAATCTTGAATGGCACGATTAATTTCAGTTTCACTTGACTCACTATCTGATAAGATGATTCGACGCCGTCTTGGTCGCAAAAGTTGAATGTTATCGTCTTCATCAGAGCTTATTTGAAAGCTTTGGTTAAGGAGAGTAATTTCTATATTATCTATTCGAGACAGGTCTTCTTGGCTAATCTCAAAGTCATCGAAGTCTATCGTTACGACGTAAAGTTACAAACACGATCTACCTTATAATATAACTGTAAACACGTGATTAATGCGCTACGAAGTAACAGCGATTAGCCACTTGCCGGGGCGCAAGTACGCGCGATGTGTGAGAGCGGCGCGGTCGCGTGTAGTGGGCGTCGTAGTGCCCGCGCGGCCCCCTGTAACAGATTCCCGGTATTCCTTGCGCAGAGGCCGTGTCGGTCAATGGTGGGTGACGCTTATTAACACTTAAAATAGGTATAAAATGTTTCTTGTGAGAGTTAAGACATGTTTTATGACGTCAAATGTATCCCTTAAACCAATAAAACACACTAATGAAATTTGGAAAAAATATTAATTTTTGTCTGGCTCCAGATGAAAATAGGGCGTCAACCACCATTGTCCGACGTGGCGTCGAACGTGTTAATTATTTCTTTTTGAATATATTCCCATGCAGGTATTTTTCTTAAATCTGTAGCTGTACTTTTCACAAACTCTTCATCAATATTATTTGGTTTCGGAAAAGGGGACTATTTTGCATCCCAGAACTTTCTTTGGGTACAATGGGACAGGTGAGTCCCGTTCAAAACAGGACGTATGGTCACTTTATTCATGATATAACTATAATATAGCTGCAGTGTGGCTCTTCCATGTTTATGTGGGATATTTGCCATAGTTGCCACGCTTGGCAATCAGGTTGATTTGAAACTCAATGAAATAAAAAAGCAACACTAAGAAGAGATAAACATATATATATTTATAGGATTTAGCCTGTGAGAAAATGAGATAGAATACAGTATACAGTGTTTCCTACTATTATCTTGGTCTCCTTTTCTGAAGGCTTCACTTCTACCATGTGTGAACTGCACACAAGTTTTTATTATTATTACTGAGTTGTGATCAGGAAGATGCTGCCTATCTCCTGTTTCAGTTTCCCTCAGTTGCCTCATACAACACCCACAAGATGATTGTGGTAGTGGAATCAGTTAAATTGCCACCACAACGTACAGCCAAGTAGGAGCTAAGAGTAAATTTTGTACTTATGTAACCAGAATTAAATCCCTACTTATGGCACAGTTAAACATGTTTTTTGCAATTTTGAATGTCAATTTACCGCATATGGTAACAAAATGTGAGAAAACCTTTCAGTTTAAGAAATAAAATATATAGCAAGGCCATGGGAACTTTGCTTAATTACACTACAGCGTTATAGTAGACTCTTTACTCCATTACAAAATGCAGTGA